CTGTGAAAACCCCTCGTTCTGGTTACGAAACTCCGGTGACCTACTTTACACTCCCTGCTTTTGTTCTTAATTCCCAGATATGGCCGCTCTCCAGATTTTGCCCATCAAGGCAAATTAATTGGAGTAGATCCTAATTTGCTCTCTGCTATTCTTTGGGCAGAAGATTAAATGCTCTGCAGACATTATCTCCCTCTCTCTTCTCTAAGAGACAAACCTGAATTAATAAAAAAAGAAGAAAAAAAAAGGGATAAAGGCCAGCTGAGTCCAGCACAGTTGATGTTTGAATTCACTTTTTGCAATCGCAGAAGGGGCCGGGGAGGCCCTCGTGTCCCCAGGCAGCTGGAACCAGATGGTGACACTATCCTTGGTGGCTGTGTGAGTGAGACAGCACATGAGGCACAGTGACATGAGGGCTGACCTCCCACCATGCCACCCAACACCTCTGCCAGACAATGGCTGAATCCTCCATTCCTTCACCCAGGGAAATTCCTCCTGATGAAGGTGCCAGGTGGGGAACGACTTCTCATCTGTAGGGATACACTTGGGTTTTCTAACTGGATAGACTGGTGTGGAGGCCACCAGCAGAGCAGGGATGGCTCCTTGCCCTTCCATGGCCCCAGTGCCACTGTCCCAGTCCGACATCCCCAACCAGGCAGCAGTTTCACCACCTCCAGCTTCGCTGGCACCCCGGGGGGAGCGGGAGATTGGAAAACAAGCATAGCCTGGAGGACACTATGTCACAGGGCTGGCCAGTGTCCGAGTTTGCATGGGGATTTCTGCTAAGCCAAATGTCCAACTTTCCATAAGGAACCACCAAAAGACAACCTCAATCCCCGTGGACAGGAGGCAGTGGGAACAGCTGAGCAGGAGTCACCTCTGCCGTGGGGGCTGTGTTCAGCCCCCAGCCTGGCACCCCATCTGTGCTCAGCTTTGGGGCTGTTTTATTCTCCAGAGAGGCATATGGAAAGTTGGATTTCTTTTTTAAGCAGCTTTAATTGAACATCCTCCCGTTACGACCTCTGCTCAGCCTTGCTGGGACAACCTTGAGCTCTGGCCTGGCATGGCCACTGAGGGTTGGGCTGGCTGTCACACAGGGCAGGGATGCAGCTTGGAGGAAATTCAGCTTTCCTGCTTCACCCCATCCATTTGATGGCCCATTCTCCTGGCTTCCTATGGCCTGGCACAGCAGGAAGCCCTGGGATCCCCAAATTGCCCCATGCTCAGGATGGGCAGCAATGTCCCAGGCAGCTTTGTGGTGCTGGGGGAGGGGGATGCTGGAAGTGCTTCCAGCTATTCCCACCATTCCACAGGGAATTACAGCTTGCTGCACCCCAGTGAGACCCTGGAGTCAGCTGGAAGCCAGTCACCACAGACAGCTGTGGGATGCAAAGGGAGCTCTGAAGTTCCTGCTCCAAGCAGGGTTAATGCTGGTGCTGGAGGCAGCTCTGTAGCAGCTCTACACCTCCAGGGAGAGAGGATCCTCCACCTGTGGGTAGGCAGCATTGCCCCGCTGCTCCCAGCCTGCCTGTAGCAGCTTCCACAGGAGAAGCCCTGAAGAAGCCACTAACAGGAGATACAAAACCTAAGGGAACCCATCCTTGCAGAGGGATGAGGGCTCTCAGGAGGGAGCAGCCATGCTGCAGGAGCAGGGGAGCAGTTGCTGCCCCATCCCTGGAAGTGTTCAAAGATGGAGCTCTGAGCAACCTGCTCTGGTGGAAGTTGTCCCTGCCCATGGTAAGGAGTTTGGAACTGGATGACTTTTAAAGGTCTCTTCCAACACAAACCATCTCAGGATTCTGTGACTCTTCACAGACATTCCTGCCTCAAGGGCTGAATCCTTCCCATGGGGCTGGAGGCAGGCTGTAGGTCTTGGGCATCAGAGCTGGCAAGGGATTTCTGAAGGGGTCAGAATGGAAGAGCAGGGGGAGGCTCCTCTCCAGGGAGAGCAGCACCTTGGAAGGGAAAAGGCAAGAAAAGAAATGACAAGGAGACAACAGCCCATTTGGCAGGAAAATCTGCTCTTAGACCTGCCCAAGCGCAGCACTGCTTTGTGAGTGTGTGATAAACCTGTTACCAGTCCCCTCTCGGAGGAGGGAGAAAAAACCCAATGGTTTTTGGCTGGAGCAGTGCTGGTGGGAGCCCAGGCACCCAGAGCCTGGCAGGATGAGCGGCTCAGAGCCTCTCAGCTCCCAGAGCTTCACGGCTGGTGGCCCCAGCAGCAAGGCGCTTATCCCAGTCAGAAATCTTCCTGCTGTAGCTGCAGAAAAGGCTCTGGATGGAATAACAGGCATCAGGAATCAACAGGCAGTGACTCCAAAGTCAAAGCGGGTGCCTGACCTGGCAGGCAGTGGATGAGCAGACGGTTCCCCACTTCATCCCGGGGTGTTTTGCCAGGAGGATGTTGGCTTTGTGCAGATGTCTGGTGTGAAGCTCTCTTGGCTCCAGTGGGTCTCAGAGCACCACCACAGCATAAATAATACAAGAGCTGCTCTGATTGAGGTTCTCAGAAGTCCCCAGTTCTGGCCCAAGGGTTCGATGCCTGTTGGCTTTCAGCGGTGATGGACCTGGAAGAGCCTCATTCAGCGCTCCCATGAGGCTGGTCAGGAAACAAAGCTGTGAGGAAGTGACTAATGGAAGATGCATCCCCTGAGGGAAACACATCCTTGCTGAGCACTTATCCCTGTGTGAGCTCCCTGGCCTAGGTGAGGCAGCCCACTGCTCTACAGCCATCAGCCAGGATGACAGAGAGGAACACGCTGGTGGAACCAAGCTGGGATGACTTTGAGAAACAGCCTAAAATAACAGGATCAACTTAACCAGGGACATGTGTGAGGTGTCACATGTCAGACACAGGTTAAGCCACCTCTCAGGGACAGTGAGGGGGATTCATGGCTGAGGAAACATCTCCATAAAGAAAGTGCAGGGATTAGAGGGCTGAAAACCTACCAGCAGCACCATTACTGTGTGGGACAAGAACTGGGGAGTTTCCCTTGCAGAGAACTGCACAACTCACCAGATCTGTGGATCCCAGCCCAGGCAGCCCCCTCCCAACCCTCACACATTTCCATGCCTCACTGGGAATTACACGGAGAAGCAGCTGATGACAATAATGCGCATCAGCAGGTACAACTTTTACTACATTATGACTTACTAATCATTCTAAAACAGCCGAAGATCCCAGGAGCATTAAAATAAACCCGGCTATTTTTAAAAGCCTGGTAGGAGTGTGAAAAAAGCCCCGCTCCACCTGAACCGCCTCGGGAATGACGTGACAGCCAGGCTGGAAAACAAGCCCGGCAGCATTGCGTTTGTATGTCCCCGAGGGAAAGGAGGGCCGTCAGCATCCCTGCAAGGTGTCATCCCTCGCCTCCCTGCTCTCAGGTCATCCAGGGCCGGGATGTGGAGTGTTCTGTTTGAGGATGAGGAAAGGATATGAGGAAGAAAGTCCGCAGGCAGTTACCAAGCAAACTTTGAGGGTTTTGTGGCACTTAGTAGCTGGGGAAAGAAAGGAGAAAGGAATGTGCCTCGTTATTCTGCTGTGCACAAGAGCTGTCCCACAGGGACCGGGTTTTCCCTGCCAAGGGAAAGGACCAATGCTTCCGGGCAATTCTCTTGCAAAGGGAATGTTTTTCCAGAGTCCCGCAGCCCAGCGGGGAGCCCTCGGAGCTGCTCCACGGGCTGCGGGCTCCAAGGCGCTGCTGGGGAGCTGTCAGAGCTGGGTTTGGCTCCAAAGAGGAGGCACTGCGCCGCTCTTCCGAGGCAGGAGCATGGGGAGTGGGAACACTGACCCTGCCAGGGGCTGAAGAGGGTCACGGTGCTGCAAAATGCGGATTATGTCAATATTGCCGTAAGGCAGGATGTTCTCTGGTGTAAGACCTTTGTACACTTTCAAACCTAATCAGCAAAAAAAGGAGAGCTAATCGGTGGAACAGGCAAGAGCCAACACCACTCACTCAAGAATATTCTGGAACTAACAAGATTTAGGGACGTAATACACTAAGATGTTGATGTTTGCCTATGTAAACGTTGCCAACTTGACAAAATACTCCATGTCCGGGTATCTTAGAGCTGAGCTATCTTCATTGTAACACTAAAATTCATGCTATGCATCAAAAAGACCCGGTTGAGATGAAGGTCTTTTCCCTGAGCATGAGTAGAAGGTATCTGGAGTAATGCGATTTCTATGGAAATTACTAACCAATCTTATCAGAGGGGCTGTGCTCAGGAATTCACTAACCCTGAACTTCTCTGTGTAAATAATGGCACAGAAAGCCTGGCGGGGTGTGCTGGGTTTGTGGAGTAGCACCGAGCAGCCAGGCTGGGGCAGCTCTGAAATCAATCATCGATGTCTCTCTGCAGTGTGCCATTATCGGCTCGGGGCACACCGAGGAGCGAGCCCGACTTTGTGGGTAACAGCAGGGCCAGAGCGGTGAGGGGGCCCTGGGGTCCATGGGGGTGAGGAGCTCCAGGGACCCGTGGGGCTGAGGGGGCCGGGATGGGGCTGAGGGGTTCCAGAGCCCTGAGGGGTCCCAGGGGCTGCTGTGAGGCCCGGAGCCCCTCGCGCTCCCGGAGCCCCTCATGGTCCTGGAGCCCCTCACGCCTCCGGAGCCCCTCGCGCTCCCGGAACCCCTCACGGTCCCGGAGCCCCTCACGGTCCCGGAGCCCCTCACGGTCCCGGAGCCCCTCATGCCCCCGGAGCCCCTCACGGTCCCTGAGCCCCTCATGCCCCCGGAGCCCCTCACGGTCCCGGAGCCCCTCATGGTCCTGGAGCCCCTCACGCCCCCGGAGCCCCTCACGGTCCCGGAGCCCCTCGCGCTCCCGGGGCCGCGGGCGGGCTCGCGCGGCTCCGGGCTCTGGGCGCTCCCGGGCCGTTCCGGCAGGGGGCGGTAAAGCGCCCCCGCCCTCCCGTTGTCCCCGCCCCTCGGGCGTCCCGGGCGCGCGGTGATGACATCAGGAGGCGGTGCCGCGCCGCGGCCGGAGTGGGCCGAGGTGAGTCCGGGGTCGGCGGCCCCGGGACCGCCCGGCCCGGCCCGCCACCGGCTCCCTTCCCCTTCCTTCCCTCCCTCCGGGGGCGGCGGTGGTGCGGCCCGGGAAGCGTGGGCGCGGCGGACTCCGGCGTCTCAGCCCCGCCATCTCAGCCCCGCCGCTGCCCGGGGCGCTGGGCCGCGGGACGGGCGGGCCGGGGAGGGAGCCCTGCCCGCTCCCGGTGTGTCCCCTCAGCGGGACGGGCCCGGTGCTTCCCAGGCTGGAGCCGAACCTGCTGCGGGACGAGCTCCCGGCCCCGGCCCGGCCCTGGCTCCCCTTTGCAGTGTAGCGACAGACGGCCTGGCTTGGGATGAGCTCTGGAAACAAACGGCTTTGGGAATCCCGGGTGGTGCGGCTGATTCTGGCCAGCCCCTGGCTCCGGCACAGTCGTCCCAGCCCCGGGTTTCCCCTCCGAAATCCACCAGAAGCTCGCAGTGCCAGGTGCTGCCGGGCACGTTCCGTTAGTGAGACGGCAGGCGAGGAGCTCCCAGGGGAGAACCTTAAATCCCGTGTTCCTTCCCTGCACTGCCAGCTGGGGCTCAGGTAGTTTGCCGCCTGCCAAGTATGTGATTTCCCACTCGGAGAGCTTGTAATGCTTGTAATTTGTCTTAGTTCCTTTCCCCACGTTCTTGGTGATTGCTGCACAGCAGCGTGTCCTGCACTAATGTGGAGTTCAGCATTTTGTTGCTGACTCTGGCTCTGTAGCCTTCACTGGAGCACTGAAGTGTACAAGGAGGAGCCACTGACATGCTGGAGTTGCTTCCAGATCTCAGTTAATGCCATAAGTGGATTTATAGATGATATTTTCAAGTGATTAATTCTTCTGTTTGGTTACTGTGCTGTAATCTTGTTTATGGATGCTCTCATTCCATTTCTCTGTTAACTTAAAATGCTTTAAGGTTCAATAATGTTGGGAAAGCTGTCCGTGGGAGGCATTATTCAGGACTAGTCAGAGCTCTTAATTTTTTTTATCATGGTGCTTTAATCTGAATGAAGCCAAACCTCTAGGGCAGTGCTTGGTGAAAGTCAGCTAAGCTTTCTGTGAAGTTGGTTTTTATTTCTACTGCCTGCACCCCACTACAGGCTTGTCTGTGCATGGCTGGGTTGTTTGACCTCAGGGTTTTGCCAGGAGGGAGCTTCTCCCTTGGGAAGTTACTTTGATGATGTTTGATTATAAAACTGAATCTTAACTAAAGCCTGGTTTTCTTTCCAGGTTGAATGAAGAGTCTCAACTTCTTCCAGGTGTCCCTTTAAAACATTTCTTACTTCTCCACTTGCTTCTCCCCATGGAAGACAGGCTGGGGTTCCTTTTCTGCTGTTCATGCTGAGCAGTTGCTTGGAGAGGTGGTGCTTGAGTGGAAATACCCCTGGTGATGGTAAGACCTAAAATCACATTTTCAAGGCCAATGGTTTTCTGTTGCCTCCTGTGAAGGCTCAGGCACATGTTGATGGGCTCTGAGTCAAAAAGGGCAAACGTGGAACTGCCCAGTGGCTGCCAGAGCCCCAGGTGGCTTCCCCATCTCCTGACCAGTCATATTGTTTTAATCAGCACATAAAGACTTGCCCAAGTGCAGCTGCTTTGGTTTTGTTGGGATGCAGTGTGATGAGCAGGAGCTCCTGGTCTGGAACAGCTGGGAGGAATTCCACTTCTTACAGGCAGCTCTGTGTGGAAAGCCAGAAGTGCCACTTGGTGCCTAAAGATGTAAAATAAAGCAAAATTGACATTGTTGAAAGATGTGAAAGCCCACCTTGATTTCTCAGGGTTTGGAGGATGAGAGACTTGCTGACTAAAAGCTGCTCTGGGCGAGTGAGCATCTCCCTTTTAGCAAGGGCTGCACCCTAAAACCAGTGTGCCTCTGGCTCCATATTCCCTGCCTCTTCTGCTGTTCCACTGATCCCCAGCAGCAAAGTTTAAGAGGTTTAAGACAGTGTACAAATTCAACATAGAGAAAATCTTGGGAAGATGGCTTCAGTGTGCAAGTTGCTGAGGCACTCTGTGGATCTTCTGGTGAGCCAACCCAGAACTGTTGGGTTTGGATTGGCTGCTGACTGAGAAAGTTGAGCAGATCTAACAAAAATAAAGAAAATGCTTGACTTTTTTTTTTTATTTTTTTATTTTTATTAAGCAGTTGTGTCTGGACAAAAAGACGTCCAGAAGTCTTGTGCAGCCTCAACTGCTCTGTGCTCAGCAGGGAGCAGAAAACAATCAACCCCAATAAAGAGAGATACTGTGTGATTTCCATGGACACGCCTGTTCTGCCCATGATTGCGGTGTTTGTGGGCACTGCCTTCACTCACTCATGATGAAAGCAGCAGAGCACTTTGCATGTTCTGTAGGAGAGAGAAATGAAAATCCTGTATTCTCAGTTTGCGATAGCACGGCCCTATTGTTTTGATTTTCCCCTCCATTTGAACCTTTACTACCTTGATTCCTCTTTATTTGTCTCTTCCCATTCTTTCTCTAAGATTCAAATGTGGGAATCACCCCAGATGTGGTTGCTGCTGGTGCTCCCCTGGGAACATGCCTTGATAGGGAATTAACACCAGTCAGTGATGGGCTGTGGGACCAGCAAAGTGCTTCCCGAGCCCCCCAAAGATGTGCAGCTAGACCTGGTTAAAAAAGTCGAACCTTACACGGGCCACAGCGACATCTATAAGCATTTCATCAAAGATGACTGCGGGGCCGTCATCAAAGCTGGCTCTCCCTCCCCTGCCCGTCACACTGACCCCTATCCCGGGAACCCCCTGCCCGCCCGGCAGCCCGAGCCCCGCAAGAACAAAGTGGCCAAATACCGCGCCAAGTTCGACCCCCGGGTGACGGCCAAGTACGACATCAAAGCGCTGATCGGGAGGGGCAGCTTCAGCCGCGTGGTGCGGGTGGAGCACAAGGCCACCAAGCAGCCCTACGCCATCAAGATGATCGAGACCAAGTACCGGGAGGGGCGCGAGGTGTGCGAGTCGGAGCTGAGCGTCCTGCGCCGCGTCCGCCACACCAACATCATCCAGCTCATCGAGGTCTTCGAGACCCAGGACCGCGTCTACATGGTCATGGAGCTGGCCACGGGCGGGGAGCTCTTCGACCGCATCATCGCCAAGGGCTCCTTCACCGAGAGGGACGCCACGCGCGTGCTGCAGATGGTGCTGGACGGGGTGAGGTACCTGCACACGCTGGGCATCACCCACCGCGACCTGAAGCCGGAGAACCTGCTGTACTACCACCCGGGAACGGATTCCAAGATCATGATCACGGACTTCGGGCTGGCGAGCGCGCGGAAGAAGGGGGACGACTGCCTGATGAAAACCACGTGCGGGACCCCGGAGTACATCGCTCCCGAGATCCTGGTCAGGAAGCCCTACACGAACTCCGTGGACATGTGGGCGCTGGGGGTGATCTCGTACATTCTGCTCAGCGGCACGATGCCCTTCGAGGACGACAACCGCACCCGCCTGTACCGGCAGATCCTGAAGGGAAAGTACAGTTACTCAGGCGAGGTGAGTGTGGTGAGGGGCGGTCAAGCAAGAAGCTCTCCCTAGGTGTGTCTCTGTCTTGTGGGTGGTAACGTTACCAGGGGTAAAAAAATTCTGTGATTCTGGCTTTTAAAATCCTTTCCCATTTTCCGTCTGCTCCCAGTGCAGCGTAGCGAGCTCCTTTAAAAAAATATGTGCACAGAAGGAGGAAATTTGCTGTAGAACAGGACTGGGATGCTTGTGGGTTTCTGGCTGTGGTAAGCTGCTGTTAGAGACTTTGCAGCTGAAACTTGTGCCAGGGTGTTTGAAATGTGGCACGTGTATCACTAGTCTGATTCCTGACACGAATCCAAGTGTAGTATGGAAAATAGTTTTGCTGAAAGACAGGGTTATGGCAAGGGGCAGTTACTTCTTCCATCTGAAGATGGGATTATTTCAGAAATTGATTTGCGTTGCTTCCTGAGCTTGGTATGTGAGAAAATGGAGGATTGAAGGATAGTTTTCATAGGTAAGTATGGAGAGAAGAGTCTTGGGGGATAATTTTTAGGCATTATGTAAATGATAGTGGGGCCTGAAGGTGCTTCTTGCTCTTCAGAAGAAACAATTTGAAGTTAAACACTTGTAAACAGCATCTTCACACTTCTGATCAAACCCCTGTTGATACTAGGAATGAGTGTTGCTGTTGTCATGTCCTTGCCATGCCATGGCCTTGACTACTGAGTGCAGGTCTGTGTTCTCTGGATAAATATACAGAGCTGAAAAGCATGTGTAGGAAGGCTGTGTGAATAACCAAAGGCATGGCCTGGCTTCTGTTTGAAGAATGAGTGAACAGACTAGGGCCTTTCCTCCAAAAAAATTAACATTTGAAGGTGGTTTGATCATGCTCAGTGCAGCCATAGGCAATCTGGAGAGAGTGAATTGCGTGTTTTGAAGGTTCTCTGGAGTAATTTCATGTCCACTGGTCCTTGTACCAGAATGGACTGGTTTTGAGAAATATTGTGAATAGCAGCTAGGCCACTGGAGATTTGTTGGTTGTTCATGCAGAGGTAGCACATGTGCCATAGAGAAAGCATTAAACTCTCTTTTGAAAGTATCAGTGCACAAGCCTGAGGCATTTTACTTGTTATGCCACCACAAATTACACACTTTAGGAGGCTGTTACGGATACTGTGTCTGACATGAGTGGTTATTTTGGAAAGCTGTCCATGCTTTACTGCTTGGAAAGCAAGTATGTGTCAGCAGCAGCCTGTATCTGTTGCCTGAATACTTTCTGTTCCTCTAGAGCCAGGGAAAATGGATGCTTTAATTTACCAGTGTAATTAAACCTATGCCACTTAATTGCACGGTGCTTGACTGTAGGCAGGTATGGGCAGGAGATGCAGTAAAGAGGCTGCTCATTTTGTGAATAAATTCTAGGAGAAGATAAAGTGAGCCAGAGGTTTAAAGGTGTCTGCTGTGTTTCCCACAATCTTGCCAGCACTTTGGTTTTCAAATGCTTCCGAGTTTTTGGTGTTCACAGACAATGGCTCTTCTTTCTTTGTGTTACACTGGAGGAAGGGGGAAGATGTCAGAAATGAGGCTATTGATGAGTTTGTCAGACTAATGGGAATGGCAGGAGCCAAGTCCTGGTTCTTTGGAGTAGGAGTGGGCAGAATGCTGGAGTGCATTGCTGAAAGCATCTGTCTTGGATGGATGCAGGGGCAGAGGTTTCATGGGAGCAACTGGTTTTCTTCTCTGTAATCTGAAAGTTGAGGCTCTGAAACAGAAGGGGAAATGTTGAAAGAAGCCTGTGAACTAGAGAGCTGACAGCTTGAGCTGTGTGGCTCAGACAAGTTCCAGTGGGGAAGGAGGGAGCTGTCTTCAAGCTGTACCATGGCAGGCAGCAGCAGTGCCCCGAGTCTCGGAGCAGAGTCCTGCTTTTTGAAAAGTCTGACCCCAAAACCTGGTCACAGAGGACAAAGCTGTATTGAAAGAGGAACAAAAGCCAAGATGCATGCTGACCTGAGAAGCAGCTCCATTTTCTTGGAAAAACAAGTGATCTGTAGTCCAGCTAATGTAATTGCTTTCTGACTGGGACCCTGTTACCCTGGCTCCTGTTCCTGGAGTGTGAGGTCTGTTTGAAGAGGCCATTAGCAGATCAATAGGAGAGGTCTCCCACAATAGGTTATTGAGGTACTGCTGACATCACTGCTCTGATTATCTCTTGTATCTCCTCTACTTTTTGAACTGCTTCGGGTAATGGCTAGGATGAGGAAGGAAGGACAGCTGGCTTTGTAACTTGGTGTGCTTTTTTTTTCCTGAGCATCCTGGGTAAGGGTTAGGTGAGCTATTGACACTGCTTTGAATGTAGCCTGCTGCAAAATTATTCCTTTTCACTTGTTTTGTTAGAACTTACTAAAAAGAATGTTTGCACATAATTTCATTTAATTTTTAATTGAAATCTTGGAGTTAAACTGATTTTTGGGAGCTTTTTGTAGCTTAAAAAGTTGACTGAGGAATAAAGCTGGAATTCCATTCTTAGTTTCCTTTGAATTTGCAAGTGCAGAATTGAAGATTGGACCATCATTATCCTGCCAGGACAGGCTTGCTCTGATTCTTTTTCAAAGCTTCTCCTTCTGTTGAATACCAGTACTTTTATGTTGCTTTACACACCTGGGAAAATCGATGGAATGAGTGGAACATAATGTATGCTATGTTTAAACTGGGAAACTTAGCTAAGGTGTATGGATTGTTCTGATTTTAATATCTGATCTGGACATACCATTTCTCTCATGGGCTGTTCTCCTGTTCATGGAACAGAATCAGCTTTTTGTGGTATGCTCACAGTGGGTGAGATTGGTGTGTGCTGGTGTGAGAACATGTCTTAATCAAATAACCAAAAAAGCTTGTTCTAAATTATGATGCTAGTGGATTCACTGACAGGAGAGACATGCTTGATATATGGAGGATGTTGGGCATTGCAAGTCTGTAGGAGCTCTGCAATAGACTTAGCAGCCTGGGGAGAGATGATCTGGTTTTGTGTGACTTAGATTTTCCAATGGTTTTTGATAGAAATCCTCACCAAAATCTCTTGAAGGAGCTTTGCAGCCGTATTGTGACAGTGGCCTTTGCATGGATCAGGAGTTTGCTGATAAACACAGCTGTGAAATATGTGGTCAGTTCCATAGGGAAGGACAAACCAGTGAAGATTGAAGGGTCTGTTGCCTTCCTGCCTAAAAGCCAGCAGGAGAAAGTTCCCTAAGAAACCTGCACAGTCTCTGATGATACAGGCTATTCAGAGGGTGAAAACGAGGGCTGTGGACCTTGGGAGTTTACCTGAGTTTAAAGAGCAACTGGACAAATTAATAGAAGACACATTGATGGAGAGAATGACCAAAGGTCAGAGGAGAAGCCTGACTTGCAAATTGTCTGTGCATTGCACTTCTACTTTTCTCTCCTTGAACATTCATAATCTTAGTGGTCTTCTGCCCTAACTTGGAGTTTAAAGCACCAAGTTAAATGCAGGTGTTGGGTAAACTCTGCACATCCTGTATGGATAGATTCATGCTGGAAAAATGCCCTTAGTTACAGGAAAACCAAGTTACTCTGGATGAGTAGCATGAATGGTGTTCCCATAACAACTAACTCAGTCTGTGTGAGTAAAAAGATAAACCACTTTCTCCCCAAGCAGTTTTTCCTGCCTGCAGCTGATAGCAGAAGCACGAAGCACACAGAGTGCAGGCAGTGCATTAGCAAACAAACTACCTGTGCTACCTGGCAGAAAACAAGATAAAAATAAAGCCATTCCAAGGCAACTGATGCGTGCTTACAGGATGAGTCCTTACCCAGGCACGTCTGCAGAGTGTTTCCAAAGTATCCTCGTAATTGTCCTCATTGTGGGGGCTGCTTAAAAGACTTTGGAGGACTTGTAATCCCTCAAGTCCCTTGTGACACATAGTGGAGGAGACAGGTGACAGGCTTGTCAAATTTTAGTATTAATTTCCTGCATTTATTCAACATTTTGAGAGAGGATGTGGTAGAGTTTGAACCCAGACTGCTTCTGACTCAGTTGGAAGCTGGTTGCTGAATCGCCCATCCTACCCCAGAGGGACTGATCAGTCATTGTATTATGAATTATGATGACTGTGGTTGGATTTCCTATCAAATGACAAACTTAATATAAAAAAGGCACAAGCAACAAAAAGAAACTGTAATTATTCTTGGTAACCTACTTCCCCTAAAAGTTGCAGATGGAAGTGTATAGTGGCAACTCAGCTTTCTGTTCTGCATACTTGTATTTTACTGTAGAAACTGGTCTCCTGTAAGGGAAAAAATTTTACTTGCATATCAGAGAAAATCTCACCATAATCCTTATCACTTTCAGGAGAATTCAGTCAGTATAGGGCAAGCATTCTGAAACTTTGGATGAGATTTTGTGCATAAGTTTTGCAATGCAGTAAGTTTTGCACTGATGCTGTGGCAGGTCTGGCTGGCTTTCCCTGAAAGAGGAAAAACGCTGGTGATCTTATTGTAGTACATCTGTTTAAGATGGGCAATAAGGCAGGCTGGCTTCCCTGAATTTGGACTGGAGTATGTCTTTGGGAAAACATTCAAAGCTAGTTTATAAAATAGCCAAGAACAGAGAAGCACCACTGCCCTCTAATGCTCCCTTGGTCCTATGTATTTTTTTAATACAGGAAATAAAGTCCTGTAAGTACAAGAGGCCAGAAAAGCTGGTAGGTGCCCCTCTCTTGAAGATTTACCTTTGCAAAGTGTAGAGCTCTTCTTTGCTCTAAGAGCTCAGTGCAAAGCCACCTGATTCTTCTGGGAGTTCTCCTTGGCTGAGTGCCTGGGAGGGTCTGGGTGCAGCAGGAGCCCTCCCTTGTGGGGTCCCCAGAAGGCCACACTGACACTTGGTGTTGCCCTCCATGGCTGTGCCAAGATGGTCTTTAACCCATTAGATGCTTTTGCAGGGCAGTCATCACCTTGGCCTCTGATGTCTGTGCCAGAAGAAAGGAGAGATTTCAAAGCAGCAGGGTGGCCAA